CATCATATAACATATACAAAAAAGTTTTTTGATTGGATTATTCTACATGATTACCATTGTTATTATTACCTTTTGAACAAAAATTAATCTAAACAAATGCACGACCGGGGGAGAAACATTGCGATTTCTTTAAAATTATATATTATATTACACACACCAAAAAAATAAACTCATAATAATTTATGACGAAATATACATTTAATTTAAAATAAACTGTGTATATTATAACTCAGGTACAACTCAGTATCAATATGACTTGTTTGTTGGTTTTGTTTTAAATAGGCTGTATGGTGGTGATTTTAAGTATGCTAGATTATGATAAATTATTTATTGTTGATGTTGCAGCTGACAGAAGAAGAAGCCATTATTATTGTTGTTATTATCATTATTATTATTGTTAATTGTTATTAGTGATAAAAATTTGTGGTGAAATAGGTAAAGTATAAATTTTTTTGTTGACTGTCAAAACTGTCAAAATAATATATTTATTTACATGTATTGTTTCTCTATTTATTTATTTATTTATTTATTTATTTATTTAATCAATTATTTATTTATTAATAAGATTTATTTTCTCGAGATTAATTAATTAATTAATTAAGTTTAAAGACGGGGGAAAGTGTGAAGAAACGAGAGAAGAATATTTTTTTACAAACAAATAATTATTGCATGTCTGATCAATTTCCATGATTTTTTTTTTTATATTTCTATGGGTCAAAAGAAAATAGATTCATACAATTTATCCAATAGCCGAATTAATTGCTTTGCATACATAAACAAATACATTACATATCAATATATATATATTTATCAATGTGGTAGCAAGTAATCAAAAAAAAGTCATCATTATTATATTTGTTTTATTTCCCCACACACACACACACAAAAAAAAAACACACACACACACCACATACACATTTAGGTCAAGGCTCTTTTACTTTCACATTCTTTTTCATTTCTTTATATATTCTCATGAAGATCATCTTCATTTATGATATTTTAGAAAAAAATTTTTTCTTTTCAAAATGATAATGAATAGATAAATATAGAATATGAATGAATCTCTAATGCGATAGATACTTTTGTCTGCATGTATGCTGTATGTATATATATGAGAATATAAACTTTATTACTTGCGTTTTTTTCCTCCTATGCAATTTTTATTTTTTCCTTCTCCGCTATTTCCTATTTTTCTTTGTTCTTTTTTTCCAATGTGATAATGAATTGTGATAATAATATTGTGATAATTGTGATGTAAATGTTTAAAATAAAATAAAAAATAAAAAAATTTTTTTTTATAACTCTGAGACAACACAGCGACATAATATTATTTATTTGCCATTTATTTATATTTATTTATTGAACAATTCTACGCACATCTCTTTGACCAGTTCCAAATTTTCCATTACAATAAAATCAAAAATATCAAACTATCTACATTGCATATTTTCTTTTCCTATAATGCTCATAATGATCTGTCTAATATTGGAAATCAATGGATTATTAAAGTTTGATCATATTAATATGTACGTATGTATGTGTGTAATAAATAATATACCATATAATGTGTAAAGCAATCAATTGCATACAATTAAAAAATAATAATTGAGTGAGTTTGCTATTGTTAATAACTATTTATTATTATTATTATTATTATTATTAGTGATTTACTTTTTATGATATGTCTAACTGATTTAGATTTGATTTTAGATTGATCTGTTATTGAATCGATTTAGATTTGATAAAAATAATCAAGTTCATTATTTTACAAAAAAAGGATAAATCGTATATTAATGATATGTATGTATGTATGTATATGTATTTATGTATAAAACTAAAAATTCTATTACAAATATTAATAATAATTAATGGTTTTGAATCCTTGGATTTGGAGTGGGGCAAAAAAAATTTTTTTGTAAACAAATCAAATTGAATTAATAACATGTCAAATGGTTGTCAAAATAATTATTAAATTGTTGATCACTTCTTTTTATATTTTTTAGTTCTACTTCTACTAATTTTTTTTTCCAACAAATTAATTCACAATCGCGCAACCTTTGTCAATTGTCACTTTCCCTAAAAAGTTCTTGTAGAGAGGCTGTTCTTAGATGGAGGTGTTTTTATATAAGCTTAATAGTAATTGGTTCTCAAGATGTGTGTTCTTATAGAGAGGTTTTTATATGTGGAGAATTCTTATATGAAGGTATGATTTTATATATATCATCATCATCATATTATTATTACCATGAAACTTTTGTCTCCGTAAATATTTATACGTAGCAAAAAAAAATATTATTGGTAAGGAGGATCATGGTAAAAATGGACAATTTAGCTGTTTGCTGGCTGCTTACTACTCTTAAATCTCAAGTTTTATATATTAGAAAGACAATCTAAAAATTCTAATATTCTATTGTGTATGATAATTGGAACGCGTGCACGCACACGCACGTCAAGGAGAGAGAGAACAAAAATTATAGTAGAAAGCTGTGACAAAATTTGGTACAAGTTAAATTTTTTTTTATTAATCGAAAGAAGATTTAATCATTGAGATGAAAATAATTATATATCATATTACTAATATTATACAAGTTTTTGTTAAAAAATTAATCAAATTATTCTTTAATCACATATAATAATTGGTGATGTGATTATTAGTATATATATATTTGTGATAATTAAGAATAAAGAGAGAAATAATTTAGAGCCTAGAAAATTACGATAATTTTCATTATAACAATATTATTAATTTATCACTATTATAATTTTATTTTAGGTTGTTTTTAATTTGTTGTTCGGGTATATGTGTGTCAGCATGGGCTGAATTCTCTCAATGGGGCGAGAGAGAGGATAACAATGATAGTAATAATAGTAATAATATGTCTTTGTAATCTGTTCCACGATAATCTTTTCTATCGGAAACACACATTGGGACTATTGGAATCATCAAGATAATTAAAGCAATTAGGAAGGATCATTGGATATAATAACTATCTAACTAATAAATAAGTTAGTAATAGGTTAGAAATTTATTATTATTTCATGTATGGGTATTTTTTTTTATTATTAATTTATGCAGGATTCCATTTATAGTTTTTTTTTATTACAATAAAAAATAATATTTATAAAATATACCCACGAAACCAACCAATCAGAGAACGAGAGAGAGAGTAAGAAAGATAAAGAAAGATATTAAAGATATTGTATTTAGATCTTTTAGATATTAATTTACTAATTTATCCATCACATCACTTATGTATTCAGATAATCACCTAGTAATATACGAATAAATTCTTTATAATCACATATCTCAACTACCTAAAATATAAATAATGGTGCATGTGTAATATTAACAAATCTAGAGGTTTCTTTTCTTTCCTATTATTAAAGATGCTTATTATAATTGTTTATTTATTATTTATAATAATTGTTTTTGTTAATTAATAATAGTAATAATAAGTATCGTTAACAATATTATATTATGTTATGTCACTGATGTTATCTATCATTCATTGTATCTAAATGTATGTGGTTTGGAAAAATGACGAAATGTGATTATTGATAAAGTTTAAATATACAGTTTATAATGGTAATAATTATTGTTTAAAAAAATTTTGTTTGTTGTACGCGCGTATAAATAAAAAAATTTTTATTACTAAAGCCACCAATTATTATTTATTTATGTGATGGTTTTAACGCGTTTTTAAAGTGATATTTATTGAAATGTCAAGGATTTATTTATTTATTTATCCATTTTATTTATTCTAATATATTTATTTATTTATTATTATTATTATAACAATTACTTTTATATATATATATATAATATAAAAAAATATGCTGATATAAAAAATTTTTTTTCAATTATTGCAGTTTATAAACAATAATTTAAATAGTCAGTACCCCACAAACAACTCCCAATCCAAAATATTATTTTTCCTCGTAATAAATAAACAAATAATAATAATACAATCTTTTTTAACAATAAAATTGCAGAATTACTTGTTTGTGCTTCATTTACATATATAAATATAAATAATATATGTAAATTTATGTAAATGTAAATATATGTAATAAAAATATATAAATATTATATATTCCTACTGCCCTACTACTAATTTCAATATAATTATTTCGACTTTTTTTAACAATTAACATTCACCACCACCATCATATTATCATCATCATCATCATCATCATCATCATCATCGACCATCCAATCCACTTTAATAATTATTATAACCTGATAATTAAATTTAATTCATTAATACCAAAAATTGAACGAATTACACACACACGCCTTTGAAGACATTTATAATAATTATATAATATAAAAATATTTTCCCCGCGCATTTTTTTAATAATAACTGTTGTCTAAGCAGTGTGTATATGTTTTATTCTTTTTGGATGATTAAAATCAACTAATTAATAATTAATAATAATTTAATTAATTCTTTTTATATATAAAAAATTTTTTTTATAAAAACTCTTATAATCCTCACTTCCAAACCCTCATCTCTTCTCCTTTTTCTTTTTTTTTTCCATAAAGATAAATTATTATTATTATTATTATTATTATTATTATATCATATCATACACATATATTAATAATTAATAATAATTACCTTTTTCTTAAAAAAAAATTTTTTTTCAAGAAAAATTAATTACGCTTTCTATCTTCTAAACGTTTCCTCACACTTCTTTCTTTAATAACGATATACAAAAAAAATTTTTCACACTCAAATTTTTTTTGGAGGAATTAAAAACAAAACAATAATAATAATAATATCAAGAATGTATAATAAGAACGACAAGGTATTTATTTATTTTAATTAATTGATTGATTGATTGATCGATCAATCAATTGATCTGATCAAATATTTGATCAAGTAGGAATTATATTATCGTGATTATTAAAAATAATTAATTATATTATAATCCTTCTTTAGCTCCGTACATTTTGTCCAATTGTGCTTGTACACGAATATAGCACAAGTGCACATATGGACGAGTATTCACAAGATATTGAAGCGCATAAAAGGCGCGTAAGTCAGATGTTGGACTATAACAGTCAGTTCTGGAAAAGAGTCAAGGAGAATACGCGCGGTAAATATCCTTTATATATTTTATTAAATTGATTGAATGATTGATAACAACACATATTCTAATAATTATATTATTGTATCCATGTAATGGTTGATTAGCCACCAAGACATTGTTCGAAATTGATCATTCGATCAATTACAACAAGATAATACCAACATCCCCTGGTATTATCGAAAATTCAATATACACACATCTACAAGACCAAAAGGCCGACAACCCCATAAATCCCAAAATAAAGCGCAAAAGGGGTAATCTCCCCAAAGCAACCACTGCTCTACTAAAAGAGTGGCTCTCACAACACAAAAAACATCCTTATCCCACCGAGGATGAGAAGATGGCTCTTGCGAGGGGAACGCAATTGAGCTTGCAACAAATAAGCAATTGGTTCATTAACGCAAGGCGGCGTCATCTGCCGCATTTGCTGAAAAATGATAAAATCCAAACCCTCAACAACAACAACAATAATAACAATAATAACAACAACAACAACAATAACAACAACAACAACATTAATAACAACAACAACAACAATAATAACAACAACAATTTATTACTATCTCCGCCTTCAAGTGAGGTAGACATGTATCCCTGTGGCTCAACAGGAGGTAAATATGCAAATTTAAATTATCACATCAAATTAGTTATTGTTGTCACTATCATCATCCACAATATAATTAATATATTTGATTTTATAGATAATATCCCTAATCACATTGCTTTAAAACAACGCACACCCAAGCGTAGAAGAAAAAGCATTTATACACATAGTAATAATAGAAGGAGATTTATTAATTAGTTCTTTCCTTCTATTTTTTTTATTTTTCGATAATAATAATAATAAATGATAATAATAATAATAACAACAACAATAACAAAAAAACAACTATGATTTAGATTTTTTTTTTTAATTTTTTTTTTTTAAAAAAAAATTCTATATGGGTGAAAAAAGTCAAGATTTTAATTTATATTATTTTATAGAATTTTAAAGACATAAAAAAATTTAAAAATCCATGATTTATTTTAATTTTTCAAATAATCCCAATATGTAAAAAAACTCTACGGTGTTTGAGTATATATATATATCTTTTTTTTTTTTTTTTGTAAAAATTTTTTCTTTCGTTTAAAAAAAATTCGTAACCTTGTAAATTATAAATATGTCTTTTTTTTTTAGTTTTTCTTTTCTCTCTCTCTTTAGATTTTAAGATTTTTTTAATATATATAAAAACAAGATTTTTTATTAAAAATATTATATATATATATATATATATACACACATTTATAAATAACACGCCCTTTTATTTTTTTTTTATTTTTTTTTTCCCTCTAAATATTTTATTTACTACTTTCTTTACCGGTAAAGCAAAGTTAAAAAAATTTTTTTTTTAAATTTTATCAATTATTATTATTATTATTTGTTATTTATTATTTATTTATTTTTCAAATTTTATTATTATTAATTAATTAATGAACGACAAAAGAAAAAACGAGAGAAGAAATTAAAAATTAAATTTGTATATATAAATATAACATGTTTTATTTATAATATATAATACTATTTATCACTATTTATTAATAAATATAAATACAAATATATATAGGTATATAAGTATTAACGTGGGCTTAATAGTTTTATAAATGACTGCTCGTTTAACAAATATAACATACAATCTCCCAAATCTCACAGATTAGGAGAGAGTCCAATTGGATCTTTTTGATATCGAGAGCGTGTTGAATAAGTGCTCGTGAATGTCCCAAATATAATTGTAATTGGTTGGTGTAGGTGTAGGTATATATATATAAGTTTTTTTAGAAGGGTGATAAAGTGGTTACTGAATAAGGATCCCGAGGTTTTATAGTGTAGTAGCCACACTAGAATGAAATGCATGACGGGCTGGTGCGCACAACGGCATCACGTATCTTGGCAATAGTGAGTGATCTTTCTATTGATAGGTTCCAATTGTTGGCTGTTTGAGGTTTCCAGCTCCATTATTAGGCTCAGTTTTGACATTCGATGTTTTTATGTAGAAATAACGTGGCCTTAGTATATATGAATCTTGTGATTGACTATCAAAGAAATACTTTATACATATCTCTTTGCCAACATAAAAAAACTCAAGACAGCTGATGTTCCGGCTACTTTATTATTATAGTTCTATCGTTTTGGCAGACATAAGTATGGCAATATCTCAAATATGATGCAAGGATTTTTTAAGCCAATACAATAATATTATTAAATATTATGCCTACTTATCCCTTTGTCGCTTTGAATCTATCTCGCTTATCAAATCAGGACATTAGGTAGCAAGGCCGCTATTATGTCAAGTCCATTGGTGAATTCTATGTTGTTCTTCATGATTGGGAGGAAATAATTTCTAATGAGAAAGTTAAACTGTGAACAATCAATTTTAAGCACAATATAAATTATACCCAACCTGTTGTATCTTTTTCTTGAAATTGATGGTAAAATCCAGATAGAGAAAAAGAGGGGGGTACTGAATAAAGCTGAATATCGCGTAATGTTTAAGATATATGCGTTATTATTAATTTTTATGCGATCCGCAAAAAGGCACTGATATGTGAAATAGAAGATAAGGGAAAGAAGCGAAAGAAGCGAAAGAAGCGAGAGCGATATATCTAACATTGCTAGTTGTCAAGATTAGATGTTTATCCCCATAAATTACACTACTTTAGAAATGTCATATAAATTTTTTATAAAGATTCCACTAATTGTTATTGTTTTGTTTTGTCCACAAGCAGCAACTTGAGCAAACTACAAATATATAATAGGTAAAACTTTATATATAAAGCCTTTTCTTTTCTCTTTTTCCTTGTGATTAATTTCAGCCTTTTCAGATTTACGTTTAGCTTATTCGGCTTTCTCGCTTCCCGAATGGCCTCTTGGCAAGCATATCCTCTTACTTTGGGTTTTAGATTACCTTTAATACGACGGACAACATATCTATAACATCATGTTGATGTTTTTGCAGTACGTCTCTTATATATATTTCTTTTCTATTTCTTCTTTTGTCATTTTTATGTGTACGTCTGTTCATGCAAATCGATTATGGATATCAGTATTTATTTATAAAAACAAACAATATTTAATTGACCATAATAAAAAATGCATTTTTCTCGTTATAATCACTCTGATAAATTTTGCCTTCACGCAATTGATACTTTAGGAGAATTTGTATTAGAAACTATTCAGGATTTTCGAGTTTATGGATTATCTGAACATTGTCCAAGATATCGAACACAAGATTTATATCCGGAAGGATCTTATTTATTGCTATTACCACAAGAACTGAATAAAACTTTTACTGATTATATCATAGATATTTGACACCTTCACAGTAAATATATTACTCGTTGGCGTTGATAGTGAAAACATGATGAACTGAACCAACAACAATATTCTATTGAATGATCCAAGGATTGAACTGAAATTGAATGAATGTTCTATTGACTTTGATTTAAAAGTCTTTGTAATTAGTTTGTGAAAAAAATTTGTTCTCTTCCTTTCTCATCATCATAACAGAAGAAAATTTTATTTATCTCGTATTTTGATTTGCAATTTCAAAATTATTCAAAGATGTTGACCAATGGTCATTGGTCATTTCGATGCTATTAGAAAATTCAAAACAAAATTTTTCGATCGGAAAAAAATAGAAAGGGCGATCGATCTTGTTATAAGTTGTGGTGATTGATTAGCTGCATATTCACAAAGAGATATTCTAAAGTTAATTATAAAAACAATTACAATTTTAGGTGATAACAGGTAAAATTCAACAAACAGGTCGAACATTTATTTATATTATTTATCAAGTATTTTAAACAACTAATTGAGAGGACCAACTTATTGTGTAAGTCATAGTAAAAATAATGTTGACCAACATTATAAAAAGAATTTAAAATAATTTAAATATAATGGTGAAAAAACTATTCTTTTTGGAACAATTTCAAAAAGTTAATGTGTGAAATTATTTATTTATCTCCAATATATCCATCCTATTAATTTTATAATTAATTAATAAGTAAATAAATCAATCAATATCAATCAATCAAGAGAACATTATTATTATTACACTTACTTTCTCAAGTAGTAAAACAATTCGATGACAAATTTCACTAATACTTTGTTTACTAACGTCAACAACAATATCTGCATCATTCGGTTTCTCATATGGATCATCTACACCTGTAAAGCCTTTAATTTCACCAGATTGAGCTTTCTGTTATTATTATATATAAATATATACGATATTTAACGTCAATGCAGTTTGGTAAATAATGGTTTCTTTTTCATATCTTTTATTTATGTATGTACCTTGTAAATTCCTTTTCTATCAGTCTTGATACAATATTCCAATGGTGTATTAACATGAATTAAAAAAAATCCTCCGTAACTCTCAACATTTTTTTTTGCTAATTTTCTTGCTTCATCAAATGGGGCGATGGGCGCTGCTATGACTGCTGCTCCTGCCTTTGTCAATTCTGCTGATACGAATCCAATTCTTGTAATATTCTGATCTCTATCCTTACGAGAAAATCCAAGTTCTAAACATTCAAAAAATCCATCGCGATCAAAATAATTTCTAATATAGTTTATATAAATAATATTGGATGTTCACGCTTACCAGAACTTAATTCTTGTCTAACAGTTTCACCCAATAGCAATGTAACGCTTCTTCCGCCTTGTTGATTTAAAACAACCTGTAAAGCTTTAGCGATTGATTTTTTACCAGAATTATAATATCCTGTTAAGAATAAGGTGAATCCTTGCTTTGCTCTTGGTGGATGAGTTTGTCTTAAAAGTTTTACTACTTCTGGATATGAAAACCATTCTGGAATATGTCCACCTGTACGCAATCTCCTACGCAATTCAGTACCTGAAATGTTAAGTGTATTTGTGTCAGGTGGTACTTCATCAATTGGTACATACTCATCAGAATCTGGTAAATATGTTACCATTTGAAACGGCACAACCTCAATTTTTAATTCATCTTTATATTCAGCAACCAATTCCTAATCAATATTTGTATATGTGTACATATTAACGAGTGAATGAATATTGATTGATTGATTGATTGATTGATTGATTAATTTATTGATTGATTGATTACGGATAAAAGAAAATATATACCTGAGCTTGATATGGGCCATAAAAATCTTTACCATGACTATTTTTACCAGGTCCTGCATGATCTCTACCAATAATAAAATGTGTTGCGCCAAAATTTTTTCTAATAATTGCGTGCCACACTGCCTCACGCGGACCTCCCATTCTCATAGCTAATGGCAATAACCCTAAAGCCGCCATACCATTTGAATATTTTGACATTATCGTTTGATAAACTCTTACTCTTGTATAATGATCGATATCGCCTGGTTTGGTTAATCCTACAACCGGATGAATTAAGATGTTGGCTTGACGAATACGTGCAGCTCTTACTGTTAATTCACGATGAGCTCTATGCATTGGATTACGTGTTTGAAATGCTACCACTTTTGTCCAATTCAATTTTTTAAAATACGCTCTTAATTCTGCTGGTGAATCTATTATTTATATACATACGATCGATGGGACACAAAATAATTTAAGAAAAAACATCTCTTTTCATATTGACTATACGCACATATAAATAAACATACTTACATCTGTGAGTCACATAATCATAATGAATAGGTGTTTGAATGGCTTCAACATTTCCACCAACATAAAATTGTTTAACTTTTTTGTGCAAGTAATCAACACCAGGATGCGCCAAATCGTTATATCCGAAAACTTTTATAGCTTCGTTTATTTTATTTGGTTCATAGATATCTTTAATGGTGAGTATTGCCAACGGTGAATCGTCTCTAGGATCACGCAATACTACACGCTCACCAACAGCAAGATTAAGTGTGCGAATATCATCTTGCGAAACATCAAGTGTAATTGGAATTGAAAATAGTAATCCATTCTTTAATCGAAGATTATCCACCACACTAAAGAAAACAAAATTTTTTCGATATTTAATCGAATATTTAATTTATAATTCGATTGATTTATTGATTTACTTTTTTTACCTTTTGTAGTCTTCTTCAGTCATGAATCCTTCTAACGGTGAAAAACCACCATTAATTATTAATTCCAAATCACATAATTGACGTTCAGACAAAACAATTGATGATAATGTTTCAGATTCATTCCTCAATTCTTGTTGTTTCGAAGCATCCCTAGAAAGTAAATCTTTTAAAATACCCCCATGTGGTTGATTTGCCATTTTAATTTATTTGGTTTTTAAAAAAATATAAAAAATTTTTAATAATCATTAGTTTTTTTATACGTTTTTTATAATACCAGCAAAGTTTTACGCGAAATGCCACGGAAATCACGCAATTAATTTAGTTATACTACAGTCATATAATCACTCCAGATCATTTGTATTAATAATCATGATAATCTGTCCGCGGGTGTTATCGATCGATCCATATGTTACATATGAATTAACATGATACTTCATTTATGGAAATTTATACTCGTTCATTTTTAATAATATTTGATATGAAAGGAAACATAGAGTTTATTTATATATATCATATATCCTTTCATTTATACATATTAAAGTGGGAAAAAAAAACTTACCGGTTGTGATGTATGAATGAATGGAATGAATGAATACCTGTTACGTTTGATATAATTGGCAGGGAAATTTATTCCGTAATATTATGAATGACATAAATTGTTGATTATATTTTAACCATAATGAAGAAATTATTGGATTTGTGCAAGTAACTTTATATTATAAAAAATTATTATAATTTGGACTACTGATATATTAGAACAGTATACTATATATATCAATTGAAAATTGGTATTCTTAACATTGCTTGAAGTCTGCTTGAGATCTATAGAAAATTTTATAAATTTTCCAACGAAAAGAATCTGCCAATCAGTCTTTTTCTCCGTTCCACGTGCATATTAAATGCAAAAAAATAAAAAACCATGCATGATTCGAAAATATATACTTTAAAAAAAAAAAAAAAAGAGCACTATGGAAATATCAATGTTGTACAAGCATTTACTTGCTGCGGAATTCTCAATTAAATTTGTGCTCGTGTTACAATTAGGCTTTTGCTTGGTTTTATTATTTAAACTTTTTTACTAATGAAGGAAGCTTCTATTAATAGTGTTCCCAGTCCTGATATTGAAAAAAAGCTAACCACTAGCAATGAAGAGTTTATTGCAAATGATCAAGAAATAGTTGACGAAGCTTTAGAATCGGCCCAAGTTCAAAAAGACATGCCTTTGACAAGCTCAAAATCAGATAATATGCCTACAAATATATTACTTGAATCATTATCATCAAATGAACAAGCCACTCATATACCAAATATGAATATTAGCCAAGAAATAATTGACGAGCCAAAAGAAATTAACATTAATGAACCACCATCTAAAAATGAAAATATTGATCAAACTAATAATACGGAACTTGATTCTTCCGGTATTCAAGTCAATAATGCAAATATTTCTACAAAAACATCTGACCTTTACGAGTCGCAAAACAATAACGTTAATGTTAATAATGACAATAACGTTAATAATTCTGATAATTCTGATAATTCTAATAATAATGTTAATAACGTTAGCAACAACATCGACATCAACGACAATAATAATTACAATTCTGAAGAGTTTATGAGATTTGAATATGGACAAACTTTACAACAACCAAGTTCCAATATTACTAATTCTATTTGGAATTCCCAAAATAATAATAATAATAATACTATAGATAATTTATCTGGTAATACTGATCAAATTATTGATAAAGAACATCACTATAGGTTTCATAATCACTATTCTCCAAATTCCCAAATAGAAAATGAAAATAATAATAGTAATAATAATAATGATAATAAGGCCCCATTTAGCTTGCGTAAATTAACAGATGCTGAATTCCAAGCTCTGCCATCGGGATCTCGTTTATTTTTGGGAAATTTATCCACTCATTCAACTTCCAAAAAAGAGCTTTATGATGTCTTTTCCCCTTATGGTGAAGTTTTTCAAATATCTATTAAAAACAGTTTTGGTTTTATCCAATATGATAATCCTGAGAGTGTTAAAAAAGCGATCGAAAGAGAGAATGGAAGGGTTTTACATGGATTAAGATTAGGCAAGTAAATGTTATTTGGTTCTGTAAAATTAATAAATTAATAATAAATTAAATATTTCTTTAAAATATTATAATTTATATATACATCAACAACGCATAATAGGATTGGAAATTTCTCATGGTAAGCCACGTCACCATTCACCAAATCAAGATATCGGAACTAAACCTAATTTTGGGCGTCGTCATGAAAAACGTTGGAACCAAAAAAGTGGAAATAAAAACAATTGGCATAACATCAAACGAGAATATTCACCTGTCCGGGGACATAATACTCAAACTCGTAGTGATCGTCATTACAATAAGGAGGACAATGAAAGAGGAAATTATCATGATCAAAGGACCAATAATAGATCTAAACCATATAGAATTCCCAATAGAGATTATTTAGAACGTAAACAAAGTCGTGATAATAGGCCACAATCACAGGATAGGACCAATGATGAATTTCCTTTACCTAGAAGACAAGGTAATGAGGTACCAGAATGTCAAATAATTGCTCTCGAAGAAATTGACCGGTTGGTATCCTAATAACAATAATAAAGAAAAATATTTTATAAATTACATGTTATTTAAAAAAAAGTTTTTTTTAATATAATGTTTAGGAATTATTTGTGGCAAGTGGAGCATGCATTCAAAGAAGCAAATATTACTGTTCATACACTTCATTTGTCTAGAAAACTTCAAATCCAAGCAGTTGTTCGTCAGATGATTGTAGAGGGTGTTCGTGCAGTCATATTTTTGGAAAGAAATCTTGCAATTAATGGTAGGGTCAATATGCAAATATTTGAACATCAACGTTCTCAAGACAATGTAAAATACGATGGTTGGTTTATTTTTATTTTTTAATACTTTGTGTATAAATTATTATTATTATTATTATTATTATTAACTTAAATTTTAAAATAATTTAGAATATAACAATATTAAATTAGGAGAGGCAGTTGGATTGTTGTTGCGAGCTCGTGCTTTATCAGTTTCATCAGTTCCTGTTAACATTCGACCTCCAGATAATAATAATATTTTAATGACCGGCCAACAAATTTTATCCCCAACGCAACAAACTGTTCCAATTACAGAGCAACTAAATGCAGCAGCAAATATTAGTCCAATTTCATTGAATAATGTTAATTTTGCTGCACTCGCCAATTTGCTTGGTAGTTTACAACAGCAACAGCAACAACCAACAGCATCCCAAAATGCTCATTCTATTCAAGGAATACCACCTATGCAAGTAATCCCACCTGGAACTAATTTACAACATCAGCCAGGTTTTATGCCTATACAGTCACATGATTTTGATGTACAACGAATACTTGGAAATTTACCTGCAAACACTTCTGCAATTCCAAATCAACAACCATATATGCAGATGCCCCCACATAATCTTGCACAACAGCCTGCTCCTTATAATGCTTCAATGGCTAATCAGCCTAATGTTGGCAGTCCAAATGTTATGCCCCCTAATACTCTTCCTCAACATCAATCCCAACATGCCGTGCCAAATTTACAACAGTTCCCTAATCAAATTCCTGGTAGTTCTAATGTATCAGATCTTATGGCACAATTCAATAATTATAATAACCAACGTTAACATTATTTTTTTGATTATATTCTTTTGGGCTTAAAATTCCTTTAAAAATCTCAAAATATATATTTACCATACACACATGCGTCGAATTTGTATATTGTGTCAAATCTGCTGTTTTTATGTATCGAGCTTTTTATTCTTAAATCAATTATTTATTTTTTTTATATTTATAAATTCTTTTTAGATAAAACTTCCAAATGAAAACATCTGAAGTCCTAGATTATAACGTTATTTGCAATCTTTATGTACATATATATATACATACACACATATTTTTATATTAATAAATTGATAATACTAATATATAATGCGAATCTAAGTGTCTTTTTATTGATCCACTTTATTTTAACTAGTACAATGCATATAGTAAAAAAATTTTTTGTTGTTGCAAGTTTCATATAAAAAAAAGTCCATCAAATTGTCCCCACTGTATAAGGTAGTAAATAAATATAAAAATGAATCAAATTCAAGTCCAAGTGTATTAAATATACATGACAACTGTTTAATGTTTTCTAGCTTCTTCTTAATCTAATAGTTTTTGTTTTTTTATATTTAAAATAGAATCAAATTTATAGATGCAATCTGCGCCAACATGATTTATGGGTATATATAAAAACATTAATGAAGGTTTGAGGTCAGAAGAAAGGCCATTAAACATTATGAAAGAATGAATCTGATATATGTACATGATCAGAAGGTGGAGGGGATGTAAAAGGAAATAAAAATTGTGGATGGTAGGGAAAATGAATAAGCAATAAGTTGGCTATTAAGTTATCTATAAATAGGAGCACCTAAGATTTTGGTAACAATATTTATAATATTCTAATAAAAATTATACTAACTATATTAATAATTATTACTATGGGATAAAATACATAATTTCTGCCGGATTTCTTCCTTTATAGTCCCCGTGTCACGAATTATGCTTCGAGTCACGAATTATTGCTCGCGTTACGAATTATTGCGTTAGTTGATAATATTATATGTCAAAATTTTCTTTTACCATTCGACAAAAATTTTTATTAATTGTAATTTGTTGTGCTAATTATTAATAATAAAAAACATATGTTAAATTAAAAATAGCAAACATACAGTATATTTTACATTTAATTGTTTATTTTCTTTTATAGTTATCCTAGTGGGTTTAGCTATTGCAGAAGGAATATTATTGCTGACTGTTTGGTCATGTGATTTTACAGTGTCAATTAATATTAATTCAAGATGATCAACAAGTGTACCTCTTTTATATCCCCTTTGGATGTAACTGAGGTGGGATATAACTAAGGAAGGATAATATGTGGGATATAAACGATGAATTCTTTTAAAAATACGTTTTATTAAAACAATTTAATATTAAACATGTCTAATTCACCCTCACCAAGGTCGTCGCCAAGATCACCGCCAAGATCACCACCAATCTCCCCTACAAATTCAAATCATTCAGAAAGTTTTGACTCGAACAAAGTTACCAGTAATTCAGTTACTTTAAACAAAACTAAATCAGAAAATGGAATAGACATTTTTGGGGATGAAAATGAAGAATTATCAGATGTTATTGATAGTTATTCAGAATTTGGCTCTGGAGATGACTATTTAAATGATAGCAGAAAAACAAAAAACAAGAGCAAGAGGAAAAGACAAAGAAGTTCTCCCGAGAGATCTATTGCTGGCAATAAGAATGGACATGATGATGAAGAGTATACTCCTCAACAAATAAATCCTAAACATAGACGTCAAAGATTAATACAAAAAAGACGACCTCGAAGGAAAACTGACGATATAATTAGAGAAGATGACATTGAAAAAAATGAAAATGAAAGGAACGAAAGGATCACTCAAAAAAATCCTGAATTGGCACCTTTATTGGAATCAAGAAGGATTGTTGATGAGGATTTTGCAGAATTCCTTCCAAAAAAACGAGGCAGGAAATCGAAAAATGATGAAATAGCGTTGGAAAAGTTGAATGACGAAGAGGCAGAACGTTTATGCCAAATCATGTTAAGAGCAGCTGATGACGATGTTAGAGGAGTTGATAACGGGGATCCATGTCATCGAAAAATAAATATGTTGGATGCTGTTGTAGAAAGACTATCAAAGCCATATTTAACTGAAGCGCTTATTGATAATAATATATTGGATGCCGTCAGATATTGGCTGGAACCTTTACCTGATAGAACATTACCAAGCATCACTTTACAGTTAGAAATGATGAAAATACTTGATCGAGTAAGTATATTTCATTAAAATTTATTTTGATAATTGTTTAATTCCTGAATAATGATTAATATTCAATTTTCGATAACTAAAGTACCCGATCACTACAGATAATTTATTATCTAGTAAAGTTGGAAGAATTGTTTATTTTTACAAAATTTCCTCACGTACTAGTGAAGTAGTAAGGCAATTGGCTACTAGGCTTGTAGAAAAATGGAGCAGACCAATACTTGGATTGAGTGATGATTACCGAGAAATAGCTGCTGCACATTTTGATTTTTATCGTGATTCGTATGTATAAAAATATTTTTATTGAAATTAATAATGTCAAATATCACTAAATATTATTTATTATTATTATTATTATTATTATTATTATTATTATTATTATATTATTCTGCCATTATTAAATAATATCACTGCTATTCAGTGGACAACAAAGGTAAAAAATGGTTTTCAAAATAAAATTTTTTTCAATTATCTTTAAATTCACTTATTAAATAAATTGTATTTTAAATAGTAACGAAGATCACGAGCCTACTCAGTCTCATTCAATTTCGACAGATGTTAATCAAGCAAGGAACTTTCATGTTCATAGAAAAGAAGATCCATATCGCTCATTGAAACAAACAATGCGTAGATTAGAAAGAGGGACCAAAAAAAATTAATCGATTTTTTAAAATAAAGGATATTTATAAATCATCCGAGGTGTAATTTTATAATTGTGCAAGAAAATTTATTACATAAAAAAAATTTTTTAGTCTTTACGGGAAAATATAGCAATTAATTAGGATTTAGTTATCTTTGTATATTTATATTTAAAGCACAACAATTGTAATACCATATTTATTTAATAAATTTTATTTGATTTAGCTTTTCATTAATATTACTTTATGATTAAATTTTAAAGTATAAACAACTTGAATATTTATTAGTGTTAATTTAAAAAGTTAAAAGTAAAATGGTCAGATTTGTCGTAGATCTTCTGTTTTAAGATCATTCTTTTGTCTATATATATTATATAAATCAATATAGAGTAAAAAATCTGCTATTAGATATCCAAATAAATTTGTCTATATTAAAAGTATTTGGATTAAATTGTTCAAATTAAAAAGGAAATAATATATACAACTAATTAGTAAACAAAAATCAGAAAAAAAAAAAACTGCCCCTTTAATAATTCAAAAGAAATAGTGATAACAAAAAAAAAGAAAAAAAAAATCAGACATCCTATATTGTAATCTAAGAAATCTAAGAAATCTAAGAATGTTTCAATAATATATATATGTATATAATTAGTGAAACCATAAATATTTAGGTTTGAACCTTTTCAACTTCTGCCTTTGCTTCCTCCCAGCTATTAAGATTCTGAAAAATATTTTATATGGTTATTTTGGGAAGGCATAAATAAAATATTGCTTAACATTTTTATATGAATTAAAAAAAAAACCTTTTGACACCACTCGATGTGATTTTTTGCATAGGCAATCAACATGTCTCTGATATCGCATACTTTTTGACATTGAAAACGGTCTAAATCGTTCTGGATAGAAACTGATATATTTTTTAAATCCTCAGTAGTTGTAATTAATGCTTCGTCCAGCTTTTTCAAGAAAAAAGAAAACGTGTTAAAATTATTTTTCATTTGTTTTAACTCAATTGGTAAAAATATTTACTTGAATTATAGAGTCACGGGTTCTACCAATTCTGTTCCTTCTTGTAGCTTCTGGATCCACATCCATAATACCATGAATTTTATGACTAAGAACTGAAAGAAGTTTAGAGCTACTGCTATTTCTTTTTTGAGATTTTGACCCCCCAAGAGCAGATGATGTAGCTGAGATATCACCATTTTGTGATAGATAGTCAAAATGACCATTACTATCATTGTTGTTTATATCAGTATTAATTTCTTCAATCGCATTGAAATGTCGAGCGTTAGAGTCTTGAACGCCACGTTCTTTGTTTAAGGCCTCCTCTAATCTTCTAGCTTCTTGTTCAGACCTTTCCAAATTTTCTAAAGTTATTTTTTGCTTTTCAAGTGTTTCACTGGTAAGTTCCATTTGCAAGTGCTTTAAATGTCTATATTTTAAAACTTGTTTAATTGCTTGAGCATATTGTGAATATTCTTGTAGTGGTTCATTAAATTCAGATTCAAGGGATGAAGTCTTCAAAAAAGACATAGTTATTAATAAATAACCCAATATTAATCCATGTTAGTTTGAATTAATCATGAAAACCTACTAGTTCGCTTGTTGCCATATAAGATGAATCCACTGCCTGACCTACTTTTTCAATAGCGCTAGCAAGATCATCATGATCACTCTCATTTAAACTGAAACCGTTATAAACAGCACCTAATTCAGAATAATCACTAGATAAATCTTTACAAAATTAAAGTAAGTATCATGTGAATTGAAAAACGAGAATCTTTTTTAAAAAAGAAAGGAGACCGATAAATAATAAACTTCTACCATTTAAACGTTTCCAAGTTCTTCTATTAGTTTTTTCCATACTTTGACCAATATGATAAGCAAATTTACTAGTAAAATTTTCAGAGTCGACAAAACGTTTATCTGGATTTTTTAATACACCTTGATAGCTAGGAGTAGGAAGTTGAGTTGTTGTTGATGGTGATTGTTGTTGCTGTTGCTGTTGCTGTTGCTGCTGCTGCTGCTGCTGCTGCTGTGAATTCAAAGGTTGGGATGAAAGATTTGCGGGTGACACTTGAAGAATATTTTTTGGGAGATTAGATAATGGAGGTGAGTGAAGCACTTCATTCTACACCA